GGGAAAGAGGGAGCTTGACTTTGTTTCTTCTCATCTCAACAGCATAAGAATTCTAACCATTTTCACTAAATGTCCACAGAGGCAAAACCAGACGAGGTAGTGGTAAATATAGATGGCCCAAAGAAGAAGAAAGACAAAATACTCAAGAAGAAACTCAAAGAAAAAGAAATCCCCAACCTGGCTGTCTTGCAGGTGTGTGGACACAGCCATCTTGGCCATGGTTAGGGTGGGAAACTCAGGAGGTGGGCGTTCTTTTAGTGCTTTAGTCAACTCCAGAATACCTTTGTCTGAATAACTTACTTTGTCTTTGTTATAATCATTGATGCAGAGTAACAGACTAACAAGCATGCAAGCCAAGACAGTGGAGCTTGCTATTTTCCTATTTTCTACATCCTCCTATTGAGAAGGGGCATAACTTAACTTGGTTAGCCTGGATGCAACAATGTAATTTACAGTGTGTGAGTTCCCCTGGGTTCACCTCTAGGGGCTTGACATCATCATGCAGATACGTACAGACTCAAAACAGCAGGAGTTTTAACTCTTACAAAAGTCAGCTTCGTCAGACCAGTCCTAACATTAGCCAGAGGCTATTAGCTAGAGGCATATTGATGGGTATGAAAATTGGCATTATGAAAATTATGTACCTAGATAATGAATTTAGATAAGTAATTTTGATGGGAAATTTGAATAAGTGATTTAATTTTATTACTCAATCAAAAACAATTCAATTTTCCATTTCTAAAATATATATGTAATTTCCTGCTTGGAAAATGCATGCCTACATGCATTATAATAAAAACAAATATTCCATCACTTTATATGTATTAAGAATGAAATGTTCAATGAATATTTTTTAATTTGAATGTCCTCAAAATACTGTAGTCTGTATCCAACAATCAGTGACATCAATTAGCTATAAAAAGCTTTGTCACATTTATACTTATATATTATATTTAAAATATTGTTGGTTTAGCTATACTTCTTGGAATTTCAAAGTTTATCAAAAATGTTTTATAAATTTCAGAGTGGTACTTAGTTCTAGGAATGCCAAGTCAATCATATTCCTTATTTTGCTGAAGATAAATTAACAGCGCCTCTTAGATTTTTCCAAGGGGCATATGCGAAGGCTGGTTTTGGAGAATCTTGGCAGTTTTCATTAAATCAATCCTGGGCTTTCCTTCCTCTGAGCACACTCTTGTCCCTTTTCCCTAAAGATATACAATGGGGATCTGGAGAGTGAATTCAACAATTTTGAAGACTGGATGAAAACCTTTGAGCTGCTCAGAGGCAAGTCTACGGAGGATGACCATGGCCTTGACAGAGATCGAGTCATAGGAAAGTTTAAGGCAGGTTCCAAGGTTAACCCTTTTATCTGGCTCTCCTGTCCATAAATGTCGGATATGACTCAATTCTGTTGGACGGTGGTGTGCGATGCCTGTAAGGAAAATCCTTAATCTCTCTGCAGGCCCCTCCCTCTCCAGAACCCCACAAGACCTAGCCCCAGTCTTTCAAGTTATTTGATTTGTGGCCAGTGAAGTGGATCAGAGCTCAGTCTGTGGAATATGAGGAGGCAGAGTCATTGCCTAAAGGGATCACTTAATTTTACTCTGCTTTTCCCAGCCCCTGACCTACCAAACATATGATTTATACAAGCCTATCAGCTGAATGATTAAATTAATCAAACAACACAAACCCTTCATCTGGCATACTTACAGTGTCAGCACCACAAAGCAGTAGCTGACACTCACTATGAACCTACTGCACGCCTTCATATGAAGGTGATGTGCTGGAAATCGCATGGGCATTGCAGCTTGCCAGTCTGGGTTTAAATCCTCATTTAGGATTTAAATCCTAACTAGCTTGTGATCTTGAGCAGTACTTGACCTCCCTGAGCCTCAGTTGCAGCATCTGAAAATAGAAATACTGAAGCCAAGATTGAATGAGATAATGGGAGGAAACACTAGCTCAGCACCCTGAGCTAGTAAAAGCTACACCTGAGCTTTTTACACCTGAGTGTAAAAGGCACTCAGGATTCCATCTGATGCTCCTATTCGTTTCTCACGTTAACAGCCCCATGAGGAGGGTTATGTGAATGGCCTGAGGACATCCAGGGGACAAGAGTAGCACCACCCCAGGTCCGGTTAGGTCCCAGGCTGTGATCCTTTTCCCAGCGCTATGCCCTAGACATTTTTTTTTTTAATTTTAAAAAACCCTCTTTATTTTGAATAGTTAAGATTCACAGAAAGTTGCAAAGATGGTAGACAGAGGTCTAGTGGACCCTTCACCCAGTTTCCTCCATTGTTTACATCTTATATAAATATCAAAACCAGGATATCCACATTGATAGAGTGTGTATATAGTTTTATGTAATTTTTATCACATATGTAGCTTTGTGTAACCACTACCACAAACAAGATACAGAGCTATTCCATCACCACAAAGATCTCCATCATGCTACCCCTTTATAATTATGCCCTGCTTGTGACCGTCTCTATCCTCTGGCAATCACTGACTTATCCTCTATCTTTATAATTCTGTAATTGCAAGAAAGTTATATAAATGGAATCCTCCAGTATGATGAGACTTTTGAGATTGGCTCTTTTCACTTATATAACGTCCTTGAGATCCACCCAAGTTGTTGCGTGTTTCAATAATTTATTCCTCTACGTGGTTGGTTTTCAGTGGGGCATGTGACTATCTTGTTTCAATGGGTAGTGCTTTGTGTTTCCAGGGCTCCTTCTGCATCTACAAAAGCCCCGAGGATTCCGGCATCAAGGGCAGCAAGCAGCTGAGAATCCAGCAAGGGATTCCATCCAACCACCCCATCAAAGTCCTGATCAGGGTGTACATTGTTGCGGTGAGGCATCCTTGTTTACTCTGAGGGGTTGTCTTAATCTCCCAGAGCTGCCATGACAAAATACCGTAGACTGGGTGACATAAACAACAGATAACTCATTTTCTCCAGTTCTGGAGGCTGAAAGTCCATGATCAAGGTACAGAGTTGGTTTCTGGTGAGACCTTTTTTCCTGGCTTATAGATGGCCACCTTCTTGCCGTGTCCTCAAATGGCCTTTCGTGTGTGTGTGTGTGTGTGTGTGTGTGTGTGTGTGTGTGAGAGAGAGAGAGAGAGAGAGAGAGAGAGAGAGAGAGAGAGAGAGAGAGAGAGAGAGAGAGAGAGGAGAGGAAATCTGTTGTCTCTTTCTCTTCTTGTAAGGCTACCAGTTCTATCGGATTAGGACACCACTCTTATGACTTCATTTAACCTTAATTAGCTCCCTAAAGGCCCTATCTCCAAATACAGTCACATTAGGGGTTAGAGCTTTGACGTAGGAATTTTGAGAAAACACAATTCAGTCCATAACAGAGGGTATGAAGTTTGGTTGGTAACATGGACCTTTGCTGGCTTTTCACTGAGCGAAAATATTTCCCAGGCTGAGAGGACTGCTCTGTGTAGCTTTATTTGCTCTCTGTGGTTGCCTGCTAGCTGGGCAGGAAACCAAGTAGCACTGAAGCAGGAAGCTCACAGGCAAGACAGAGGGAAGAACCAGGGCAGAACAGGGCAGCTGCCACTGTGCAATCCTCCCCCGCCTCCAGGGCTATGCCTCTGTTCTGCTGCAGTCAGAAATTTCATTTCCAGTGTATTTCCAAGAAAAATATTATCTGCCCTAGGCTTCCTCCTTTCTGATAATGAGAGCACTGAACAATAATTGTGAAACTTTTGGCCTGAATGCCAGGAAGCTTGGGGCCAAATTCGGTGCTCAATCAAAGCAACTGTGTACTAGACATTTATGGTTCATGTATTTGTTTTCATCTCCTGACCTTGGAGTTGATTTTCATAATCTTACTTGATTGTAGTCATCTTATTTTATATTAACTCTTTGCTTAAATCGCCTAAAATCTTTTTTAGAAACCGAAATGAAACATAAAACAAAGATGAATTGTTCTTTAACGCCAGGGCACAACTAAACACCCCCTTTCCATCATGCAGTTCTCATGTTTCCTTTGTTATTAGCAGCAACGTCATCATGGCCATGACCACCATGTGCCAGGCATGTTCTAATCACTAAGGATATCGTGATGGAAAAAAACACAGCGCCTGCCCTCGAGGAAGTCACAGTCTAGTTGGAAAGATGAGAAGTAACTTGTGAAATTATCCAATAAGGGATAAAGGGTCCAATAAAGGATACTTGTAGTATCCTTTATTCATTCATTCAACAAATATTGGGAAGACCCTGTCCTAAGTCCTGGAGTTAATGTAATGAACAAGACAGACAGTACAATAACTTGTAAAGCGTTACTGGCAATGCCAATAGTCTATATTAAACACCCACCCACAGGATAGTTTAGAATAATCTTTTCAAAATTTTGTTCAGGAAATCACTCATGTCTTGGGAGAGATAATTAATCACTCATGGTCTGGAAGTAGACCATGTATTCAAATAAATTCTAGAAATGGTGCATATAGTAATTCATTTCCCTTCTCCAGCACCTGAGATTCACAAAGCTCATTAGCATATTCAAGGCTCTGAGAATTCCAGAAGCAAAGAAACCTATTTAACTGTTGAATCTTTAACAGCATTTTCAAAACTTACTGCCCACACCTACTTTTCCTCCCTACAGGAAACACTGCGGAACTCAAGTTCTACGGGACATATTTTGGGGAACCCAGAAATAAGAGTCTGAATAGTAGGAAGGAGAGGGAGAAATTTTTTTGGACTACAAAGATTAGAGAAGGATTATGATTATTTATTCATTTAGCAAATATCTACAGCACACTTATATATATATGTATATGTGTATGTATATATCTATATCTATACCTATATCTATATATAGATATAGGTATAGATATAGATATTTATATACAAGTACCCTCTAGACAAAGACCAAGATTGCAGATCAGGTTCCTGCTCAGGAAACAGTGTGGAGGAAGGAGAACTGGGGCTGGAACTTGAGGACTGGCAGGTCTTGAACAAATGAAGTGTCAGAGGGTGGCAGCCCTGGGTTGTAGGTAGTAGGATAAATCATGGACAATGTTTTTTGTTGACATTTCTAGTAATGGTGATTATGTGTGGTTTGCTCTCTTACACTAAGATTTAATTAACTAAATAATAAGTTAATTTAAAAATCTCTTAATTTAATAAAACACCAAAGAAGTAGAAAGTAATACTACTTAAATTTTGCATGGAGAAAGGAACCAAATCCCCCCACCTCTGAAATTCCATCCCCAGAAACTTACCCTTCTTATGTATATATACTCTTCTTATGCAAACACATCTCTATTTACACCTGTCTACAACTACATCCAGGTGTTTAGTTAACGGAGTCCAGCTTCACGTATTACATGTTGATCTTCTGTTTTCTTTCTTTACTTGGTAATGTACCTTGGACATTTTTCTAGATCAGTACATATAGGTCTTTCTCATTCCTATTAGTAGCCACCTAGTGTTTTCTTGAATTGATGTAGTATCGTTTATTTATTCATTCAACAAATATTTGGAAGACCCTGTCCTAAGTCCTGGAGTTAATGTAATGAACAAGACAGACAGTATCCTTGCTCTCATGGAGATTATAACTAATTGGGGATGGTGTGGGCATTAGGAGGGTATGAAAATAAACAACAGACAGATAAATAAGCAAGAAGAATGTCAGAGATAACTGCTAAATAAAGAATTAAAATTGGGGGATGTCATCAACTATAATTCAGTAAAAAAAAAAAAAAAAAAAATTGGGCAATGTGGTGACGAGAGTAAATGGGGAAGGGACAATTTTGGATGGAAACCAGGATCTTGACCACTAGACCATGGGGCCAGCAGGGGAGGGACAATTTTGGATGGAGTTTCTCCCTAAGTAACTGACATATAGGTTGTTCACAATTTTTAGCTATTAAAACAACGTTCTGGGCTTCCCTGGTGGCGCAGTGGTTGAGAGTCCGCCTGCCGATGCAGGGGACGCGGGTTCGTTCCCTGGTCTGGGAGGATCCCACATGCCGCGGAGCGGCTGGGCCCGTGAGCCATGGACGCTGAGCCTGCGCGTCTGGAGCCTGTGCTCCGCAACGGGAGAGGCCACAACAGTGAGAGGCCCGCGTACCACAAAAAAAAAAAAAAAAAACAACGTTCTAACGAACAACCTTGAAAAGAGAGCTTTGTGTGCTTATACCCTTCTGTCTGTAGGACAGAGTCCTACAAATGCGATTGTCTCTTATCCAGCTTCTCATCTCTGCACTCTCTCTGTCTTCTCCATGTCCTTCCTCACCAGCTCCCTACCCTGGTCCTCCCTGACGGAAACAGATCATTACTCAGCTGACCAGCGCTAAATGCAAGACTGACGGGGTCATGGATTCAGAGTCCACTACTTCTGGGAGGAGGCTTTAGGTCTACCCCATAATTTTACATATTAATCTCAGAGAGATGACATGTTTTGCCCAAGATCACATGACTACGTGAACTGGAGCTCAAATTCATACCTTCTGCTTCCTGGTCCAGCAGATTCCTCATTACTCTGTGCCAAGGGCTGCTTTCCACTGGGGAGACAACTCCAGAGAAAGTAGAACTTGGGCAAAGCTGATAACTTTTCTTTTAACAGCAGAGTAGAGAGGCTAAAACAGTGGTTCTTAACTTTATAGCTGCACACTAGAATCATCTAGGGAGCTTCTAAAGATCCCCAAGTCCAGGGCCAATTTAATCAGAATATCTGGGAATAGAACTCAGGCATCAGTATTTTTCAAAACTCCCAGGGGATCCCGGTGCCAGCCAGTGTTGAGAACCACTGGACCAAAGGGATTTTTTTTTTCTCTTCTCCAGGCATTTAATCTTAGTCCAGCTGATCCAGATGGCAAATCGGATCCCTACATTGTGGTCAAGCTTGGCAAAACTGAAATCAAAGACCGGGACAAATACATCCCTAAACAACTGAACCCGGTATTTGGAAGGTCAGTGGCCACCTGGGTCTCATTGCATTGTCCTCTCTGCATTTGTTCTTATGGTGCTTCTGTAGGGTGTTTGGTGTGCATACGTGTGTGGGTCTGAGTAAACAGTGCAGGAGATTAAATGCCGACTCCTGCCCAGGATAACAGCCAATCAAGCCTCTCTTCGTGGAGAAGGGCTGAATTCTTTCCTTGGTCCCTTCAGCAGCTTGGTTCTGCATGGTCTTCATGGCCATGGTTTTCCAATAATGATTTTCCCAGATCTCAAATTTAAGACACCACTTGAACAGTCATCAGATTCAGCCTCCTGCCTTGGAGAGAGTTCCTTTTTACAAACAAGATAACCAAGGCCCAGAGAGGTTTAGAAACTTGTTCAAGTTCACACAGCTCATAAGTAGAAGAGAAGGGGACACATGTTTGGTCTTTTGTCTTCTACCAAAGAGATTTTTCCATCGTATCATCTTGCAGTTCATTTGAGGTGACCTCTGCAGTCAAAAAGTGGAACTGCACCCCCCGCCTGTGTTTTGTTTTCCTGCAAAGTGTTTACAATGCATCACACTTGTGTTATGTTTAGGTGAACCAGGCATTCTCCAGTTCACAGCAACCCTACCACCCCATTTACCTTCTAAAAGAGTATGTCACACATTTATGTTCCCTGCTTGGGTTTGTGCTCTTGACTGCCAATAACTCTGGAGTCAAGCAGACCTGGGTTTCACTCTGCCACATACAGGCTGAGTAACTTTATGCAGACAGCTTAACCTCTCTGGTCCTAGTTTTTCTCATCTGTAAAGCAATAGCAGTGATAATTGACTCTCAGATGCCTTTAGAAGATTAAATATGACAAGCACCTAGCATGTTGTCTATGATAGTGCATAGTAGATACTCAAAACTCATTAGCTTCCTTCTGCTCTCCCTTGAAAGTCATTTTAGCAATGCACACATCTTACGTGTATTTATTGTCTTTTTTTCCGGAGTAACAAGGAGCCTGGGATGAAATCTTTATCCACCTCATTTAAATTCATTTACACATTTGTGATCGCTTTGGACCCTCTGACATTTGATCAGCACCAGCCTCTTACATTTTATTGCTCCCAAGGAAATAAGGCAATAAACAATCTTGCCTGTTCAGATGAAAGAGAATGATTAAAAAGACATGCTGGGGAAACTTACCCTTGCTTCCCTGATCGGGAGATGACCTTTATCATTACCTGCTGTTTACGTAACCAGCACTTCATTTTGTCAAGTGCTTTGCAGTCACGTTTTATGAGCTGCTCTCACCACAGTGCCATGAATTAGACTGGTTTTATAACCTCCGTTTATGGCTGTGGTAAACAAAAGAAGAGGGTGATGGAATAGTCCCTCCTGCCTCTGGCATTTCAGAGCCTCTTCCAGAAGCCCACCAGGGGTGGATGCTTTGTTGGATGTATATTTAATTGTTACTCAGGGACAGACATTGTTGGCTCAATCTGTGTTCCAGCAGGGAGAGTGGAGGGCTCTCATCCCCGACCTGGGGTCTGGGGAACTCCTCTTTGAGACCTCCCCATAGGAGGATATCACAGGCTCCACGCCTGATGCTCTGGCCCCTGGTCTGCTTTACTTTTCTTCATAACCTGTGACATGAATTGGTGTGTTTATGTCTGTCTCCCATCTCCCCGCTAGAATGTAAGCTCCATTCGTGCAGGGTCTTGGTCTAGTCTGTTCAGTGCTGCATCCCCAGTGCCTAGGACAGGGTGTGGCACAGAGCAGATGCTCTTTAAATATTTGTAGAATGAGCAAATGAATAAACAGATTGACAACCCTTCAGTCAGTTTTCAGTGGGATTTCATGGGACCCCATCATCCTGAGGGGGTACATGTCTGAAGAGTTGGTTGTTCCTCATGTTCTTAATAACCACACTGCCTGTCACATAATGGCTATCTCATAAATGTCAAATGAACAAGTGAATCAATAAAAGAATGAATGAATGGGCAAAGAAACAGTGAGACATCTTTGCTCTGAAGCTTTCGGTACTGAATGTTTCTACAAGGCTCAGTTTTCACCCATTTCAGGATGCATTCTCTTTTCTCACACCAATGCTGTTTCTAGGGATCCTATCTCAATGACACACACATGTTGGTATAAGCCTAGTTTATCCCCGAATGACTGGAAGTCCAACCATGGTGAGCTGTTTTTGGTAGTTTTTCTAAGGCAGCGCTAATGAAAATTCAGGAGAGGTGAACCTGTGAGCACATAGCACACAACTCTGGGAGATGGACCAGAACAGCTGAGCCCTCTGTCCTCTGTCATGGTTGCCAGGGGCAGTTAAGCACTTAATAAATCCTTCCTTGGTGGCAGCAGCTTGGTGATGGCCAAGCTCAGAGGTGGCTGGGGGCTTTCTTGTGAGATGCCTCTAGAATATCAGTTACAGTTTCAAATCCCAATCTCAGAGCCCCAGAGAGGCAATACTGCGTCTTCAGGTGGAAGAGGCGAATTTCTTTTTTGCGTAGCTGTGTCCCTGGCCTGCAAGATCTGCCAGCATCAGTCAGTTACAGGCACTGGAGCTGTCCAGCATCTCTGCTTTTTTCTCTCTGGGGACGGCTAATTGGCTCCAGGCTGTGCTGTGATTGCTGTCCTTACCAACCCGGAGAGTGAGAGTCAGGGCTAAGTGGACCTGACCATGACCGCAGCAGCCCAGACGGGCCTGAGGACAGGCAGTGAAATAATGGGTCCTCTATTCTCCCCTCCTCTGTGCATCCTCTCTGTCCCTTGTTCCCAGACCAGCCTCCCCACCTTGTCCCAGGGCAGACAGAGACAGGAACAACTGGAGAAACACTGGTGTATCCTTGATTTTACACATTTCCCTAAAATGCAGGCTTTCACTCCCAATTTAATTCTTAATTATCTTCTCTAATGCTCAGTAGCACGGATAATGCATTGTCACGGGAAATCCGACAGCATTGCTATTCCTTTCAGCACTGCACTGGGGTGAGATTGTGGAAAGAGAACAGTACCAGGAGTTAGGAAACTGGTACTTATCCCAGTCTGACCTGATTTAGGATCCTGGGCAAGTCCCTTGTGTTCTCTGGATTTCAGTTTCCTTATCTGTAAAATGAAGCGATTGGATATGGTGATTTCTGAGATCCCTTACAGTTCAAGGAAACATTTATCGTGTCTACTCTCTGCAGGTGAAGTGCAGCCTCCAGTAATGTGGAGATGAAGAGGTCTCTGTTCTCAAGGGGCTCAGAATAATCTTGTAGAGACAGCATTCCAGTCCTGCAAGTCTATGTTCTAATGATTTTCCATTGTCAATAGGATTTTCATTTCAAATAAACCCAGCTGGTATTCCCTGATGAAGCAACAATGGAGGAGAAAGGGAATGGTAAATTATTGGGTACCAGGTTGAATGCCTGGAAGTACAATCTGTGTTTATACAAACACTATCACATTTAACCACTCTGCTATATTATAAAGAAGACATATTTATCCCCATTTACACATAAAGAGGCTGAGAGAGATGAAATAACTTTCCCAATGTATTACAATCGGGAAGTGGCCGATTCAAAATCCAGATTAGAAATCAGTCCTGTCTGAGACCAAAATCTAAGACTTTCCTCTCCCTCTTGCTGTCACCCTAGTTGAAGACTGCAAGGCATGGCCCGCAAAAGATGAGATGATTGGCTACTGGAAAACTGACAAAAGAGTTGGAAATTGGTTGCATCTCAATGAAAAATTAAACCACATAAACACCCATTAAGTAGTAACTGGGTTGCTGAGTGATTAGTGAGTTCATATGGACTGTAGGTGGGCTAAAAGTGAAGCAGGGAGAAGTTCTCTATCACCAAATGCTGTCGATTCCTAAAACCTCTGCTTGGTTGGCAGGTCATTTGAGATCCAGGCCACATTCCCAAAGGAGTCCTTGCTCTCTGTGCTGATCTATGACCATGACATGATCGGGATGGATGACCTCATTGGTGAGACGAGGATTGACCTGGAGAACCGTTTCTACAGCAAACACCGAGCCATCTGCGGCTTGCAGAGTCGATACGAGATGTAAGTTATTCCTCCCATGGAGACACTGCTGGTGTTCTGAGGCTGCAGCCCATGCGCTGGGAAGGCCAGCCAAGGCCCAGATTTAATATCTCAGATGTGCTCCATGTCAGCAGGGCTAGTTTGGGGAAACTGCCCACTGCTCTTGAGGGTACTTGGGGCTGGGGAAGCAAAACTGATTTAGAACCCGGAGCAGGTTCTTCAAGAGTCAAGAGCTGAATTGTATTTTTTCATTCGATCAGCTGGGCCTAGTGGACAGAGTTCCCAGTGGGGAATGATGCTAGAAGAATGACTAATATACAAATGCCAGTATCCTAGTTAATTACAACAAACACTCATGAGTGCTTACAACATACCATGCACTTTACATGGAGTATCTCATTCAATTCTCTCAAAACCCTAATTAAGGTGTTATCCCCATCTTACACATGTGGGAAAAGTGGGTCCAACTCTCACTCTTTGCAAAGATTTTTGAATTCTGATTAATTTTAAAATATAAATTATCTGCTTTATTTTTACTTTTATTAAGGCTTTTAAAATAACATTTATTTCTTAAAAGCTAACGTGTGCATAATAGGAAACCAAAAACACAAGAAGCAAAAAACAAAGTCATCCATAATCACAAGCAGTTTACTGTTTGATGTGTCCTTCTAGGTCTTGTTTTTGTATCTACACGACTAAGCGTCCATTTTTATGTAATTAAGATCATACAGTTATGTATCATGCTATTTCACACACCACGAATATTTACTATTTCAAAGTCCCAAAGCTATGAGTATTTTAATAACCAAGAATACACTACACCAACTCAATCTGGAAGGAAAAAATGTAATCCTGCCTTTCTTGGTGACAAAAATTTCATAAAAGACAAAAATAGCAGCAGGCTTCTAAATAAAGATATTGGCTGAGTTACGATCAAAATACTACATTCCCTTACTGTTCAATTAAAAATGAGACCTAGAGCAACAGAGAACAGCTTTATTTTTTAAAGTATGATATATTTAATATCTTAAGAAGAAAACTCTTACAAATATCAGCTAGGAAAATATAAAAGCATCCATTAGATTTCCATGGTATAATTTTAGAAATATTTCTTCTGAATATAAAGTAATATATAGTCCTTGTAGAAAATTTAGGACATACGGAACGTACAAAATGATGCTCAAGTTATTTTATCCAGAGATAAAATTTACATTAAAAAATTTGTATGTATTTCCTTTTAGTATTTTTTTCTATGCTATTTCCCCCAAAGTTGGACTCATACTATCCATGCAATTTTGTAGGCTTCTTATTGGACTTATAAGCATTTAAGTTATAAATGCTATAAATGCTTAAATAGCATTTTATGATATCATTAAATATTCTTCAAAGTCATTATTTTAATAGTGGTGTTCCATTATATAAATTTACTATAAAATGATATAACCAATTTCCCTTCCTGAATTTCAGGGCATTTATATTTTTCTTTCTTATTCCATTAGAAATATTGCTGCCATGCACATTCCCATACAAAAGCCATTGCAAACCTTTCTGATAATTCATTCAGTGTTCATCCATAGATATGGATTTATTCCATTAAAAGGAATGCACACTTTAAAGACTTTTAATCTATATGTCCAAATGGCTCTCCAGAAGGGTTGGACCAATTTACACTCTCATTAACACAGTCTGAGCATCTATTTCCTCCATGGCATGATTTTTCAGACAAGTCTCTACTGCTGGCCTGTTCTTCTCTGAGCCTGGAAGGCCGGTTCAGTTTTGGGACTGTAGTGAATTTATAAGCCTCCTGGTGTATTTACATCATTCTCAAGTACCTGAGAGGGTACCATTCAGAGAATGATTAGCTGTGCTCACTCTGAAGTCGGTAAAGGAAGCCACAAGCCAACATGGTGGATCTTTTGTTCAGGAGAATTTCCTGACAGCAGAACTAGCAGGGACCAGGATAATTTAGTCACAGGGAAGTTGTTCTCTGAAGTTTTAAAAATAAACAAGAGCACTTATTTCTGGGGAGGCCTATATATGGCTCTGGGGGTGGCTTGGAATCTTTTCAGGATCCTCATACCTCTGGCCCCGTGTAGGAAAACTGCTTTATAGCCATGTTTTGGTTTATTTCAATGCTTAAACAAATTAAATTCTGATGAATCCCGCATCCCAGGGAGCAGAGAAATCCAGGCTTATCTTGGTCATGGTTCCTAGGGAGCATCTCATTGCAAGTTAATAATTTTTAACCAAACAGCTAGTTTTTCAAGGGAAGAAGGGGTTGAAAAGGTTTAGAAACTCACCACCAGGAAATAACTGATTAGAGAAATGGCACACCAAGACTTCCTGCCTGTGACATGAGTCTACAATATGATTTTGGCAGAGGAGAAGGGAGGAAAGAAGCAGAGAAATTGGAAGGACGAGCTGGGCTTTCTTCTTAGATAAGTAGCAGCCAAATAGCTATTCTGCTAGGGACAGAACAAATGAAACAAAAACTACCTGCAGAGAAATCCACAGAGACAGAAAGCAGATTGGTGACTGCCAGAGGCTGGGTGGGGTAGGGGCAGTGAGGAGTAACTGCTTAATGGGTAGAGGGTTTTCTTTCGGGGTGATGACAATTTTTTGGAAGTAGATAGAGGTGGTGGTTGCACAACGTTGTGAAAGTACTAAATGCCACCAAATTGGTCAACTTTATAATATTCAATTTTGTTATGTGAATTTCACTTCAGATTTTTTTTAAAGGATGCATTTCTTTAAAAAAAATATCCAAAACTACCTGGAAAGAATGTTTATGTCAAGCTACTCGGAAGTCCTGCCTTTTGTACGAGCATACATATGCAGAGGTATTGACCAGAAGAGAGAGAAGATGATGAAATGAAAACACTAGCCCCAAGCATGTAGAAGGTCAAGTTAAATCTGAAAGATTAACACAGATCATAATTAGGTGGTCCTTTTTACCGGGACCTCAGATGTGGCCCCCAGGGAGGCTGGACCTCACCCTCTGTCCCTCCTCCACTTTTCAGAGAAGGATACAATGCCTGGAGAGACACGTCCAAACCCACCGAAATCCTCACCAAGCTCTGCAAAGACAACAAGCTGGATGGCCCCTACTTCTGCCCTGGGAAAATACAGATAGGAAACCAGGTCTTTTCTGGAAAAACAGTCTTCACCGAGGAGGACACAGGTAACTCCCGCAATGTATCCCACTGACATGGCTCTTCTTTTGAAAAGCCTGCTTTCAGTGGTATTGGTGACTGAAGATAATGCTCATTTATTGTAAAATGAATGCATGCTCACAGTAGAAAATATGCAAAAGTAAGGAGGAGGATGAAAATCACTCTTAATCCCCAAATTCAGAGATAACCGTGGTGTGTACTGGTATATTTCTTTACAGAAATATCAATTTTGCACAGTGTGTGTGCAATATGGCACATTTTTACATAATTTTAAATGTACCATAGCTATAGTTTTGTACTCCACATTTTCTGTTTCCAAAAGCTTATGACAATTCTCTGTTCTTTGAAACAATCCTTGATAATATTCTATTTTATGGCTGTGACATTTATTTCCATTGTGTCCATTTTTGTAGTGATACTTAATGCTACCACGAACATCCTTACACATATTTTTGCATATTTCTGGTGTGTCTACAGTACATATCATATAAGTAGAATTTGTCAGAAGATAGACAATACCTTAAAATTAATATTACATAAAATAAATAATTGGACACAACTCAAATTACCCCCATAAGTGTTATACCAACAAATCTCCTGTTTCAACAGCAAGAAACAGATTTTTCCATATGAGCAACATAGGACATACCAGGAAGATCCCAGAGAGCCTTTCATAAATTTAGGATAAGAAAAAAAAGCCACCTTTACTTTAAGGATATAGAACAATTTCTGTACTGTCACACCTGTCCATTTGATGCTTAAAAATTACCTATATATGGTTCAGTGCTCCTGATGCAAAAAGCCCGATTAAGTACACGCTACAGGGTGTTTTGACACTATGTTGATTCCACCACTTCAATGCCAAGATTTCTTTTTACCTTGTTGTTTTGGCCCCAAGAACTTCTTAGAGGTTCATGCATGCAGAGTTATTGACATTTAGTGTATTAATGATATTGATGAATTTCTGTGAGAAAAATACTTTTTTGTAATATTCTCTATTAAGCCACTTTAGTCCCTTGGTCAGTATTCTACATTTCATGATTAAACAATTTACTTGCCCACCAAAAATCTGAAATTATATTCATTAGGATCAGTTCTTGACTGATTAAACTTTTTGACAAAGATTTAATTCATTGATTACTTGTTCATCCCTATTGACTTTTACCGATTGTAATGACTGCTGTTGGGAGATTCTTTTGGTAGCCTTTTTTTGGTTAAACCTGGTTCAACTTTCCTATGTCGAATTTGGCCATTCTAAACTTTGTTCAAGAAGATTTTATTCTTTCAACAATTTTTGCCTTATTTTGTGAGTATTACTTCTACTGGCAGTTTTTGTCATGAATTACCTTTTTTGGTAAAACGATAGATCAGAGAATCTTTTCTGGAGTAAGTGTTGGTAGATGGGAGATCCCAAGCAATAATGAGAAAAGTCAAAAGACATCGATGAGCACATATTGTGGCTGTTTCACCACATTGCTTAGGGTCACACTGGTTCTCCAGGCCCTCTCCCACTATGGTGTTAGCAAACAGTTTTATGTCTCCAGGAAACATACCCTCTCTAGTCCCTTGAAGCCAAGTTTGTGATTCATAGACTCTGAAGGAGTCTGATTCAAGGGGTGAAGGGAGTCCAGTACTGCAAGACTCTGACTGCTCTCTGGATCTTTTGGTCAACCCATCTCATTTCCCACTCTCTTAACTTTCTTTTAATTATTTCTATTTTAACTGAAGTATTGTTGATTTACAATGACGTGCAAATCTCTGCTGTACAGCAAAGTGACTCAGTTATACACATATATACATTCTTTTTTAAAAAATATTCTTTTCCATTATGGTTTGTCCCAGGAGATTGGCTATAGTTCCCTGTGCTATACAGTAGGACCTTGTTGTTTATCCATTCTAAATGTAATAGTGTGCATCTACCAGCCCCAAACTCCCAGTCCCTCCCTCTCCCTGCCCCCTCCCCCCTTGGCAACCACAAGTCTGATCTCTAGGTCTGTGAGTCTGTTTCTGTTTTGTAGATAGGTTGGCTCTCTTAACTTTCAATCTCTTTCCCCTTCCCACCACTCTACTCCTACCTCTTTCCATTCTCTCGTCTTTTTTCTCTTTCACTGTCTTTTCTCTCTCCCTGTTCCTTGGTATATTTATTTTTATTTTTTTTTCTTTGGAATTTATTTTATTTTATTTTTTATTTTTTTTAACATCTTTATTGGGGTATAATTGCTTTACAATGGTGTGTTAGTTTCTGCTTTATAACAGAGTGAATCAGTTATACATATACATATATGAACCTTTAAGGGAGTGTTTGAAAATGCATCTGACAGCCCATGACTATCACCTTACAGGAACACATCTGACAAGTCTCTTTATTTTTCTCTCTTCCATGCAGATGAGACGGTGGAGTCGTACGAGCACTTGGCCCTCAGCGTTTTACACTCTTGGGAGGATATCCCGGAGGTTGGGTGTAGGCTTGTTCCTGAGCACGTAGAAACTCGGCCGCTGTACCACAGGGATAAGCCAGGAATGGAGCAGGTAGTGGCCAAGACAGTTCTGGCCCCAATAAGAGTGTTCATCCCCGAAGAGAATGACTTTTCCCCTACAAGTTAATCTTGCTTGCTGTATAATAATGGTTCTCAACCAGGGACAGTTTTGCCCCTCCTGCCCCGGACGTTTAGCAATGTCTCAAATATTTTTGGTTGTCTCACGTGGGTGGGGGTGATATTGGCATCTAGTGGGAAGGAACAGAGATGCTGCTAAACATCCTATTCTGTACTGGGAAGCCCTCCACAACAAAGAATTATTCAGCCCCAAACGAATGTTGAGATTGAGAAACTCTGCCCTAAAATCAGAGTAGGATTTAGTGCTCTTTCC